AATTACAAACCTTTCTAACTAGTGGGCTGCCATCTTGAGACAGCTGCGTCAATCTCATGGCAACTCCAAAATCAATCTGATTGGCTTGATCAGATCTGTCACCAGTATTGGCTATAAATCTTCCTAGAGCAAACACTGCTGCTGCACGAACCTTGAAAAGACAAATATCACAATCAGAGCTTTAAGTCATTATTTGTACATCACCATACTTGTGCAGTAAGATGTCTGTAATAATCTATTATTTAAAACATCATTTGATGCACATTGGGTGATCACAGTGGTGGCAGTCTGTACACGGCTTATGCATAACTTGCAGAGTTGTCAGTGGGTTTGCCTGGTCAAACGAAGGCCTCCAAACATGCCAGGAACCCTTCCATATGGTGCAATTTGGGGGTTCTTGCCTCATCCGTCTTCACACAATTATTTCATTTATTTATTTTCAGGGCTCAAAATAATTTTTAGACCATGGCTAGACACAATGACTGGCCAAAGAAATTTTTGCTTGGTCAAATCTCGTTTTCTGACCGGTTAAAAAAAAAAGTAGAAAAAAGAGAAATAATTATTGTGTAGTTTACAATTTGTGACCTTGACTGTATCTTCAGAAAGAGCCAAAATCTATGTCCATTTACAGGTGAGGATTTGGTTGTTTGTTCAAGAATAAGAGAGTGGGCGACCGGTCAACATGACCGGCAAGTGTAGCTTTTGGCCAGTCAAGATGCTATTCTGGCTGGACATTGTCTGTTGACCAGCCGTTATTTTGAGAACCTGATTTATTTATTTATTTATTTACTCACTCACTTTGAATTCACTTAANCAGAGTTTCAAGTGCTGTCTAGGTTCTCGCTTGTATTCATCACGACAACTGCAAGTTCAGAGGTCGTAAATCACGCGAGTACCGTAAATGTTTTCAGTTGTAAAAACTCGCAGTTTCAATTGCCCCAGAATTTTATTTCACAGATTGATAGGGGAAACATTGCTCTTTCTCTGGAATACCATTTTTCTAATGAAAGCCATGTACCAGGAAGGGATTTTCGCCGTTGAAAAATGGCAAAATTGATGGTCGCGATAATGCTGATTTAGAGGGTAATTTTGAAAAAATATTAAAAAATCAGATTGAAATCTTTTGAAATTGTAACAACGTTTAGGTAGAAAGGAAGGATCATAAAATTATTTAATGTAAGAAAAGTCATGGTATTAGTTTCCGTTTTCATTCACGAACTGAGGGTATCAAGCACATTTTTCGGTGGTTTGAAGGCCTCTCGAAGGTGAAAATTAAAAAAAATTATTATTTTGGAAAATATTAAGTCAAACGAACTGAGTCTTGTATTTTCTAAAATAGTTTCCAAAGGGCTTTGTTGGGACAAAGTTTGGGGAATTTCGATTTTTCCATCTTGCACACCTATCCGTGGTATTTCCAGAAAGTCGCTCTTAAAAGAGGTGGTTTTTCTCAGTAATTACTCAGTTTAAAAACAGTACCCATCTAGATTGACCAATTTTATTTGCACACTTGTGTGAAATTTTTTTTGTTAAGTTATTTACAATTTAAGAAATAAAAGATGTTGATACCTGCATCCCAAATATTTTCAAACCTTTTTGATTTATGAAAATGGCAAAAAAAAATTCCCTTGACCATAATGAAATGGCATCAAGCCTCACCTCTGGTAGTGGATCAGTTAAGAGACAGTAGAGTTTTTCAGGTGCACTATCTCTCACAGCACACCACCTGGCAGCTTCATAATTATACCACACTCTACCAAGACATATGGCTAACCATTGTCGCAATAAAGGGTGAGGATCTGTTAACTGCTCCAGGCATATGGCTATAACATTTCCTTGCACACACACTTCCTAAACAAGACAGAGGAACAATAAAACAGTCAAGGAGAATAAAACTAGCATTCTGGCTTCATTTGTGATTTATGCCATAGCTATGATGTCTAAAAAATTCTTTGGAAAAAAGGAAAGAAAAGTTGTGTTAGACAAATTAAACTGAACAAAGGATTAAACGAAATGATTTGTTGACACAACATATACATGTACTATGAGAAAAAACATATTTGCCTCACACAAACTATTATGATCTGACTTTCTGGCTCATAAGCATAATGAAAACAGGAAAAACTCACTTGACCAATTGGATATTCATTGACAATTACTGACAGGACAAAGGCTGCCATTGTCCGATGCTCAGCCTACAAAAAAAAAACAAAAATAATAAATCATTCAAATTCCTAAAAGCTAAAGTGACTGCATGCTAAGGCAACATGAATGAAATAACAGATCTCAGCAAAAACACTCTAAAATTACTAGAACCCTGCAACTCCATTCAGAACATCCCATACTGTATACAATTAGTGATGGAGACTAATGGTCAGCACTGTCCCGTGTTTAACCTTTGGTTTAGATGTGGCTTAATGTAATATAGGTGAGGCTAACCTAAATTACATTAACCCTTTAAGCCCCAATATCCACGTACAAATTCTCCAAACTGATCTCTATACATTTTCTTAAAGAATAAGTTGAGAAAATTTCACGAAAGGTCAAAGCATTTTCTCTTAGGTGATCAATTTATTAATTCTCATAACCAAATCTCCTGACAATCAATGGATATGGTTAGGAGAAAATTGATGTTGGTCACCATTGGGACTTAAAGGGTTAAGCCACATCTTAACCTTTGTCACCTACAGCTGTATCACAGTTTTGTTTTTGCAAGCATAAAAGCCCATAGAGTTGTCATTATCTCGTACACTCTTGAACAGAGCAAGTGAGAAATTATCTAGTAAGCAATGTACAATAGGTATATTGCTTGTACAATAATTTTAATATCATGTTTAGGTAAAACAAAGAGCACATTCACAGTCTTGTATTCATTACTTACTAGCATGTAGGGATCTGCCAGCACAGATAAGAAATATTTATGACCATTGTCCTTCACAAGATCTGCCTGGCAAGACTGCAAAGTTGATAACGATATTGTAAGTATCGTAAATCCCCTATTAAGCCCCCCGGTGGGCTTATTTATTTCAAGCATATTTGAGGGGGGACTTAATAGAGATGGGAGGCTTATTTGAGAGAGAGGGCTTATTTAATTTAGAAACAATGAGGGTATCAGTTCTCCATAAAGAACTAGAATACAAAGTGGAAAAGCTCAAGTACAAGAAGTTTTAGGTCACGCAGCTGGGGATCAGAATCTGATCCGAACTTCCAGTTGGTAAATAAACCATCCCGGATAAGTCCACACGAAGTTTTACGGTTGTGATTGATTAACACTGACTATCTTTATTAACAAAGAATAATTAGGGGTGGGGAGGNCAAAATATAGGTTATGGCACATGTCAAGCCAGAAAAAGTGAGCAGTTTGATAGAAAATGTCAAGTACGACTGAACAACGCCCGTAAAAGCGCCCCTAATGACTCGGGCGGGAGGGGGAGGCTGGGTGGGGAAGGGAAACTCTGAAATTGAGCAAAGAGGACCTAGCTCTAAGCATACCGCCTGCTTTTTAGTTGTCCGTTTCCCTTGGCAATAAATTTTACCCACAGTTTCGAGAAACTCTTTAAAGGAGATTGGGCCCGTCAGGAACGCTCAGCGGTAAAACCAAAGATCGCGCCCTCAAAAAACTTATTTTAACTTACTGAAAGCCGTTTTTTCTTGACCTATTTAAATTATCATTAGGAAAGAAGAAAAGGAATCTCATAATTAGCGTATGTATAAAACTATCAAGAAATCTCGAAATTCTGGGTTTTCTAAGAGAACACTGGAAATAACTCGCTATCAATAATCCGAAGATATCCGAATATCTCACTTTTCAAGCCCATGTTAATTCGCTTCATTTTTGAGGGGAGCCAACATTAGCCGCGCGACTGTTATTTTTTTGCGCCTCGGTATCTCACGTTATGCTTACGCGTATCCGCAAGTGTGTCTTACATCCTACGCTTACGCAAAGGTTAAATACCTGAAACGATGGGGTATGTGATATATATTCACCTGGTACCGCCCCGAGGGCTACGTGTGTAAGACTGTTCCTTTTCAGATTTTCAATAGCAATGCAAAAAACAATAGCTTTCAGTTAGTGCGATCGGCCTTTCCTTCTCTTTTATTTTATTTTCCTTTTTCTCTCAAAAAACGCATTTTTTTTAAGGTGCGAGGGGCGCGATCATTGGTTTCACCGCTCGAGCGTTCCAGACGGACGCAACTATACGGCTTGCAATCTTCTTTAAAGAGTTGCTCAAAAATATGAGCGAAATTTATCTCCAAGACAGACTCACAGCTAAAGCGCAGACGGCATGGTTAGAGCTACAATCTTGGACAAAATAAATGGAAAACCTAGACCCCCCCTCCCCCCAAATCAAGGATGGGAAAATGGCGCGTTTTTGCCCTTCGCGCGGCTTCATCCTTGATTTGGGGGGGATGGGGGTTTGCTGTTCCATTTTATTTTGTCCAAGATTGTCTGAGAGTAAGACTTGCGTTACCCAAAGCGTACTGTATGGTAATCACGACTTAAAACTTGCGGTCGCAAGCTTTCGAAGCTTAACACTTTAATTGCGATTCTCGCCTCATCATGAATAAGCCCGAGCGAGATTGCAAAAAATGTTACTAATGACATTCAATAAATGCTTTTTGTGTATTTCATTTATTAAAAAAGTAGAACGCATGAATACATGACACTATTGGTGTCATAATAGTAACATACTTCTTTTGCAAAACTGACTCTTTTTTCTCGACGAAAATTCTTTTGAAATTATTGCGCAAACTGCATCGGTTACATATTTCTACTTAAACCTACTAACGCTCTTTGCCAGAATATAACGATGGAGTTGCTTTCTCAGTACACATCAAACAGTTCGAGCGAAAGCCCCGACAGCTCCGATGAAGACTCAGAAACAGCCAAAGTGCGAAGCGTTTACTTACTGACTTATAGCAGAGCAGATCTCCGTATTTTCCCTGAGAGAAAGTCGTTCGCAGATGCCGTTTGTGAAGCAGTTTTAAACTGCGAGGGACCGAAAGCAAAAATTGTACAGTGGTCGTGCTGCCAAGAAAGTCATAAGAAGGGAGGAGGAAAGCATTTTCACATGGCTATAAAGTTAAACCGTGTTAGGAGGTGGCTGCCCATTCGCGACTATTTAAAGAACAAATGGAGCATTTATGTTCACTTTTCTAATCGTCACGTTAACTATTACACTGCTTGGTTGTATACAACCAAAGAAGACAGACATTACATTCAGTCTCCTGATCATCCTGACTTGGCCAACTCTGGTCCACCGAGAACCATGTCAGCGAGTCAAGCTCGAAAACAACGAAGTGTACCAGCAGCCACAAGCGACCACGGTGACGAATCATCCAGTGCCGCAAGCGAGGAAGAAAGGGATGGTCGAGAAAACGAGATAGAGGAAGGCAGGCGGGCCAGCAAAGCCGTTAAGCGAAAGCGTTCCCGACGTTTAAGTAGCTTTGAAGTTTCGAAAATAATCATCGATAAAGGATTCCGTAACAGAACGGAACTACTCGCACTCGCTAACGTGCAAAAAGCCGAGGGCAAAACAGACCTGGCGGAGTTCGTGTTCAACAGAGGAAATAGGGTGGTGGAAGAAGTGATTGCAACTTCGTGGGAAATGGAGAACGCGACTGACGTGACGTTTTTCACTTTTACTGCCAGTGTTAATTACTACACCTAAAACAGCAGAAGGCCAAAATAAACAAATAAATATAAAAAAACGAAAGAAAGAAAACGAAAAAATTCATCGGGTGGAAATAGCGGGGTTAATGGTATTACAAAATACTATACATAAATGAACAGCCTCATTTACGAGATGCTATGCATCAAAGAAGTCCGTAAATACTCAGAGTGCGTCAAAAAGTGCGAAATTCTTTGTAGAAACTTGTAACATATTCTGATATGTCACTATTCTCTTTATTGATCTTTTGTTGTTTTCTTATATTCGTTATAGAACATTCATACGCTATTGTCTTTTGACTTGACAATGACGTACGAGAACGTCGAAACTTTGTCATCATATTTTTTTAAAACCTTTCCTTTAACTACGTATTAATGCTTTTAAGCATTAATGCTTTTAAGCAAAATGTTGTCACTTTCTTTATAGCCAAACTTTTCCAAAAATTACTGAAAAAAAAGAAAAAAAGAAAAAAAATTGCTCAGGCCGCAGCTTGAACCTACGAAAGCAATGTGCGCACCTAACCGGCGCACTAGCCTTAGCGTGGAACTAGACCAGTGCGCCATCTGTCCAGTAGCTATTCACTCAGTGCTACTTTTAAAAAGTGTATTTGCTATTAGCGATATTTGTGTGCGTTAGATTTCCTCTATCTGCACTACTTTTCTTATACTGCAAAAGCGAGCACGATTTTGGTTGAAGAAGATGCAGATTGGCTCGATTTACAAGCTATAACGGACGGTTTTTGACGATTTTCCACGATTTTGACGCTTGAACAGTAAAATAATATTGAGACAACCTTTTTCAATTTTCACCGATTCGTTAATCGTAATAAACCGTGAAAAATCACCGTAAACTAACTTGAAACCGTGTGGAACAGTTCGTAAACCGTCAGAGAACCGTCCAAGTGTCATTTAAACCAGGTTAAACACTCTTCAGGAACGTTACACCGTTTACTGACTAACTAATATTTCAGTCTTTCGCCATTGTTTCGTATTATGTCAGCAATGCGACCGTTCATAGACTGTATTGTTTTATCAATCACGCCCTGAGAAATGCTACAAATTGTCCTTTCTACCCTATCACAGAACTCGTCATATGATTCGCGAGTAATGCCTTGTTGAAGAGCGTCTTTTTCTAACTTCCTGGAGGCAAGGTTAAAAATGTTCTCAATAGGGTTTAAGTCTGGACTTCGCGGCGGTATTTTTAAAAGTTCCGAATGACAACGACCCATAGCCTCGCGTGCTGCTTTGCTGTTTTGACAGGGATCACCATCTTGTAGCCAGAGCCGACTCGATCCTTTGCCGGATTGCACGAACATGGTGTTGAAATTCTGGTCAATAAAAGATGAGAAATATTTTGCGTCCATTTTTTCGTATCTGTCACAGACTAAAACTCCTTTTCCGTGACTTATTGCAACCATGAACTTGGCAACTTTTCCTCCCGTTCCAACTTTTCTTCCTTTAGCTAGGCACCCCTGTGTAAGACCTTCGGATTTTTTTCTCCACACTCTTCCTTTGGGGGCGCGGGCCTGGTCCATGGGGTTTGTCTTGTATACAAACGAGACGCCATCCAAGTAAAAAGCGATAGAATCTTTCCATACATTCAGGGGGTAATCTGCTTGCATCTTTCTAGCAAATGTGTCTCTCATGTCTTTGTCCGATTGGCTCATGAGTCCCTTTTTGCGTGCCTGCAGAAAGAAGTAACCATTTCTGTTTAGAAGACGTCTAACAGTTCGATCAGAAACGTGACGAATTCCTGTCCGTTCCATCAGACGCCGAGACGAAAAGGAGCCCTCTTGGTCTCTCAACTCTTCAATGCTTCCGAGAATCAATGCCTCTTGTTCGGGGGAAATTTTTTTCCTTCGGCCACAAAAATGTCTCCTGTGTTCAGGCAGTCTTCCATCTGCACTTGTTAGTCGGTGTACACTTGTCCTGGAAACCTTGCAGCGCTGAGCAATTTCTTCTAGCGTGAGATCTTTAGTAGCCTTAAGGGCTCTAATTGTAGCCTTAGTTTCCTCGGGTATTCTTTTTCTAGATGGCATGTTTAAAGTGTTTTACGACGATAAAGAATATCTATTCTCACCTCTTGTAATTATTGGGAAAGTTAAACTACGCATTATATATGCTCTGTGTTACCGAGAATATCTCTTTTGTAATGCCTAAACTTAGACCCGGGATGGACCAGTGACGCGCGTGACTGCGTCAGAAACCAGTGTTTTCTAACGTTAAGTGCGTTGAAAGATGTCTCACTAATTAGGAGTGACCACTATTTCGTGACCTAGACACCTTCGAGACAATCTTGGACAAAATAAATGGAAAACCTAGACCCCCCCTCCCCCCAAATCAAGGATGGGAAAATGGCGCGTTTTTGCCCTTCGCGCGGCTTCATCCTTGATTTGGGGGGGATGGGGGTTTGCTGTTCCATTTTATTTTGTCCAAGATTGTAGGTCCCCTTTGCTCCATTTCGAAATTCCCCCCCTCCCCCTGCCAGAATCATTAGGGGCGCTTATACGGGCGCGGTTCAGTCGTATTTGACATTTTCTATCAAACTACTCTCTTTTTTCTGGCGTGACATAAGCGTATATTTCTCCCAAACGTTGCTCAGAAATGCAAAACTTGCTCGAGGTTGCCAGAAGTACTGAAAGCTTTGCTTTTAACACCAGAGGTGCTCTAAAATTATGCAGCTTTTCTAGCCCCGCTATGTCCAGTTTGAAATGTTCTGCGTTTCTTCGCCCCAACCCGAAACGGGCCGCCGACCCTTAGGGGGTGGAGGGAAGGGACGGATGACTTTTAAGCCAGGAATTAGCACCTTTTTTCCCCCTAAATGTCATTTTTCTAAGGATACAAGTAAGGAATTCATAATCGTATTTCAAAATGTGTAAGCAGGCGTTTATAGAAAGTAAGAGAATATAAGGGCCAACCACTTCATAGTCTGTTGTCGAAAATATGTTTTTTTAGTCTTACGTTTTCATAATCGCTCTAGCGGATAAGTCAGTGAAACTAAGGATTTTGATTATTTACATGCTTTGCTTTTATAGTTACAGAAGGCACCGCGTGAGTGTCTTTTTCGGAATGGTATCTGTCTTCGCCGTTATAACCCGGGTCTCAAAGTTCTTTGTCACGCAATCTCATTTCGTTAAAGGCAGTAAAAGAGTCGGTTCTGTTGTCAAATAATGTGAGGTAGGTCAAAACGTTTTCCCTTTTTATAGCTATAACGATTTGGTTCATGAGAAATGAGAGCATAGCTACCGACACTAAAGCCGTTTTGTAGATATATGATAACTGTTACAAATACGGCAAAAGTAAACAAATACGCACGTAAGGGATGTGTTGTAGTCAAGAAGTTCATAGCACACTTTCGCACAATAAAATTGCTTTTCCTTTTGAAAATTTACCAATGTGAAATCTAAAATCGTTTTTGGTGTTTAAACTGGCGGAAAAGGGGCGAATTTGCGTCAGAGTTTCAAGTGCTGTCTAGGTTCTCGCTTGTATTCATCACGACAACTGCAAGTTCAGAGGTCGTAAATCACGCGAGTACCGTAAATGTTTTCAGTTGTAAAAACTCGCAGTTTCAATTGCCCCAGAATTTTATTTCACAGATTGATAGGGGAAACATTGCTCTTTCTCTGGAATACCATTTTTCTAATGAAAGCCATGTACCAGGAAGGGATTTTCGCCGTTGAAAAATGGCAAAATTGATGGTCGCGATAATGCTGATTTAGAGGGTAATTTTGAAAAAATATTAAAAAATCAGATTGAAATCTTTTGAAATTGTAACAACGTTTAGGTAGAAAGGAAGGATCATAAAATT